TACAAGATCGGTAAGGGTTGCTAGATCCCTGAAACTAGTACAAGATCGGTAAGGGTTGCTAGATCCCTGAAACTAGTACAAGATCGGTAAGGGTTGCTAGATCCCTGAAACTAGTACAAGATCGGTAAGGGTTGCTAGATCCCTGAAACTAGTACAAGATCGGTAAGGGTTGCTAGATCCCTGAAACTAGTACAAGATCGGTAAGGGTTGCTAGATCCCTGAAACTAGTACAAGATCGGTAAGGGTTGCTAGATCCCCAAAACTAGTACAAGATCGGAAAAGGTTGCTAGGTCCTCAAAACTAGTACAAGATCGGTAAGGGTTTCTAGATCCCTGAAACTAGTACAAGATCGGTAAGGGTTGCTAGACCCTAAAACTAGCAGTGGGCCGGCTGAAGCCCTAAATATCAGTCCAGCTTGGAGAGGCTGAGCTCAGAATATACTCTCTCTTCAACAGGCTACAAATAAAGGAACACACTACCATGAAGCAAGCAGAAGCAGTAAGATGCATCGACATCAAATCCAGAAGCCTAGATAGTACAAGTTTACCATCCTTATCACCCGACAGAGCATATAAACCCACACTTAGTTGCTCTTAGGGACAAGGATACAGGTAAACACCATCTTCCCGAAGGAAATGGTGTGGGGGCATCTACACTGTTGAAGTAAAGGAGAAGATTCAGACACAACAAGTGACATGGGGCATTCACATGGATCTTGAAGCCTAGATGTTTCGGTTTACCATCCTTGACACCCAACAGAGCATACAACCCAACACTCAGTTTCTCCAAGGGGCAAGGATATAGGGAACACCGTCTACCCGAAGGAAACAATGTGAAGGTATCTATTGTCAAAACAAGAGTGAAGATCTGAGTTTTCACCTCACTATCACAAGAGAAACAATGGAGCTTCTACTCGAAGACTAAAGATCAGGTGTATAGTTTGTCACCCTTGTTACCCCATAGAGTATGCAACCCAACACTCAACTGCTCTAAAAGGTAATGATACGAGCAAATACATCTATCGAAGGGAAGCAACGTAGAAGCATCAACACAGAGACGAGAAGAAGACCCGGACGAAATGTCTACGTCTTTACTTGCCTTTGGAAAAACAACATAGTTATTCCAAATCACTAGCCATTCATATAATCCAAATTTGGTTTTGAAAGCGGTTTTCCATTCATCACCTTCTTTAATTCTAATTTGATTGTAACCACTTTTAAGATCAAGTTTAGAAAATATGATGGCTCCATAAAGCTTATCTAGCATATCATCAAGCCTAGGGATAGGATGTCTATATTTTACAGTGATGTTGTTGATGGCTCTACTATCACAATGCATTCTCTACTTGCCATCTTTCTTGGGAACCAACAACACTGGAACGACACAAGGACTTAAGCTCTTTCGAACCCAGCCCTTCTCCAACAACTCTTGGACTTGAGACTCTATTTATTTAGTCTCTTGGGGGTTGGTCCTATAGGCAGGCCTATTGGGTAGGCTAGCCCCTGGTACCAAATCAATTTCATGTTTTATCCCTCTCAAAGGAGGAAGGCCCATTGGACCCTCGGGAGGAAATAGATCATCAAATTCTTTTAGAAGAATTTTAACCCCCTTAGGTAAAGTCTCATGTCTACTAGATGTGGCAGTGCAAGTTAGAGTCCATGTACACAGAAGGATAAAAGAGGGTTGTCTAATCAAGAGAGTTTATTTTGAAATTTCTTTCTCTTGATTAACAACTTCTAGGGAGGGGACTCCTTTCTCCCTAGAATTTTCTTTGTCCTTATTTCTCATGGACTTTTTTTTTTCTCTCTTTTCTTCTTTTTTTTTTGTAATTTTCTCTCACTTTCTCTTTTGAGTTTCATTTTTTCTTGATCCTTTGCCACCTGTTGAGGAGAAAGAGGATGAAGCACAAATTTCTTCTCCTTATGAGTAAAGGATATCTCATTAGTAAGGCCATTATGCATGGTTTTCTTATCAAATTGCCATGGCCTTCCTAGTAAGATATGACAAGCTTCCATTGGTACTACATCACATAACACCTCATCTTCATAATTCCCAATGGATAGTTTGACCTTTACTTGTTGGTCAACTACGAGATCACCATCCTCATTAAGCCAATGAAGTTGATAAGATTTAGGATGGGGATCAGTAGTTAAGCCCAACTTTTCAACCAGCCTAGTGTTACAGCAGTTGCACCATGACCCACTATCAACAATGAGAGAGCAAGCATTATTTAAAACTTTGCATCTTGTATGAAAAATGTTCTCTCTTTGTGATATGGTACCACTAGGTTGGTTGTTGAGGAGTCTCTTAATCATTAAGATCTCCCCTTCATAAGGAAAAGTATCCTCTACATTTTCCTCATGCTCACTTGCTTCTTCCTCACTATCACTAGAGGAAGTAGTAGTCTTTTCTTGACTACTATAAGTGTCATGTCCCCTCAAGATCATAACTTTCTTTGTGGGATATTGAGAAGCAATGTGGCCTCTCCTTAAACACTTAAAGCATTTAATATCACTAGTCCTAGAACTAGTGTGTGGAGTGACTTTCCCTTTTCCTTTATCCTTTTCTATGGCTAGACTCTTGGAGGGTTCAAAATTTTTATTTTTATCAAAAGGTTTACCCTCCCTCTTGTGATCTTTTTTTAGGGATGAAAAAAATGAGGTCTTTCTTACCTTTGCTTCTCTCTAAAGCAGTTCTCTCATTTTGTTGTTGAATATGTGTTTTAACCTTCTCATGTAATTTCTTCACAAAATCAACCCTATATACTCTTTCTTTATGAAAATAATGAGAAGAATCTGGTAGGGGTATTAGGTCCAAAGGAGTGAGAGGGTTAAAACCATAAACAACCTCAAAAGGTGAGATTTTGGTAGTCTTATGAACTACCCTATTGTAAGCAAATTCAATATGGGGCAAGTACTCATCCCAAGATTTATGGTTACCCTTAAGAACTTCCCTTAACATGGAAGATAGGGATCTATTAACTACTTCTGTTTGCCCATCAGTTTGGGGATGACAAGTAGTTGAGAAAAGTAGTTTAGTTCCTAGCCTACTCCAAAGAGTTTTCCAAAAATGGCTAAGGAACTTAGTGTCCTTATCTGACACAATTGTTTTGGGTAGACCATGAAGTCTAACCACTTCCTTGAAGAAGAGTCTTGTTATGTTGCTTGTATCATCTATTTTGTGACAGGGTATAAAACGGGCCATTTTACTAAATCTGTCCACTATCACAAAAATAAAATCCATGCCTCTTTGGGTCTTGGGCATGCCCAAAATAAAATCCATACTTATATCAACCCATGAAGAGTAAGCAACTGGTAAGGATGTATAGGAGCCATGAGGCATTACTTTAGACTTTGCTTGCAAGCAAGCTATACATCTTGAGCAAAACCTCTCAACATCCCTTCTCATGTGGGGCCAAGTGCCCTATGAGACCACCCTCATGACTTTCCTTAACAAGGAGTTTTCTAATAGATTCTTGGGGTATACATATTCTTCCTTCTTTATAAAATTACCCCTCAGAAATATAGAAACTTCCTTGAGGCTTTTCCAAGCATTGGGTATAAAATTCATTAGATTCGGAGTCATTGGAATATAATTCCTTAATATGATCAAACCCCAAGATTTGAGATCCAAGGGAGACTAGCAAAGTATGTCTCCTAGAAAGGGCATCAACCACAATATTATTTTTCCCTTTCTTGTATTTGATCATATGGGAATTGTTCCAAGAACTCTACCCATTTAGCATGCCTTTTGTTGAGTTAGCCTTGGCCCCTCAAATACTTAAGTGACTCATGGTCATTATGAATGACAAACTCCTTGGGAATAAGGTAGTGTTCCCAAGTTTGAAGGGCCCTAACAAAAGCCTTGTCATAGGTAGGGTAGTTAAGGGAGGCATCTTTAAGTTTTTCACTGAAATAAGCAATTGGGTGCCCACCCTGTAACAAACCCGCTCTTATGCCAACCCTAGAGGCATCGCATTCTAGCTCAAAAGTTCTTGAAAAATCCGGAAGAGCTAGAAGTGGTGCATGAGTGAGCTTATCCTTTAAGGCTAGGAAGGCTTTCTCTTGTTGCTCTCCCCAAATAAACTCCACATTTTTTTAACCAATTCGTTCAATGGGGAGGCAAGTGTGGAGAAATTAGGAACAAACCTCTTATAGAAGCTTGTCAAACAATGAAAGCTTCTAATATCTGCAACACTTTTAGGAGTAGGCCATTCTTGGATGGCCTTGATTTTATCGGGGTCCACATGAACCCCTTTTTTTTATTAATAATAAACCCTAAGAATATGACACTATCTACACAAAAGGTACATTTCTCTAAGTTTCCAAAAAGTTGATTTTTCCTAAGTATATGAAAGACTTGCCTTAAGTGTCCTAGATGATCACTTAGGCACCTACTATATATAAAGATATCATCAAAATAAACTACAAAAAACTTACCTATACAATCCTTTAGGACATGATTCATAAGACGCATGAAAATACTAGGAGCATTAGTGAGCCCAAAGGGCATCACTAGCCATTCATATAATCCAAATTTGGTTTTGAAAGCGGTTTTCCATTCATCACCTTCTTTAATTCTAATTTGATTGTAACCACTTTTAAGATCAAGTTTAGAAAATATGATGGCTCCATAAAGCTTATCTAGCATATCATCAAGCCTAGGGATAGGATGTCTATATTTTACAGTGATGTTGTTGATGGCTCTACTATCACAATGCATTCTTCTAAGTTCTTAGTGGTCCCGTGTGTGGGCAAGGTCGAGGCACACGTGTACAAAGCGACCACGGTATAGGGGCCAGGTCGAGCTATACCGATTACAAGCGACCAATGCTAGCTGATATGCGTGACGACGCATTGTGTGTTTACTGCTGTTATTGCTGAATGATGTGAGATGTATGCTGTGATATATTATAAGCTGATGTTGTTAAGCTGGTTGATGTGTTGATAGCTGTAGCTGATTAACATTCATGTATTTATATATATGTATGTTGATTAGAAGCCCGAGCTTAATTATCTCGCGCGCAAGAACCGAGGTCGTGGTCGTCCCATCACCCGTAGAGCCTTCTTCATGATGCGGCTTATGTTGGCAATGGGAAGGTACCTGTCTTGCTCGCGGATGTTGGAGCGAGGGCTGGTCGCCGCTCTCGTGGTTGCCGCAGCCGGGGCTCGCAAGACCCTCCGCCATGCTCGCTGGAACCCTAATTTGAGAAAGGGAAAAAGGGAAAACATGAGGCGAAACCCTAGCGAGAGGGAGGAAGGGAGAATGTTAAGAATACCTGAGAAAGGGGCACAATGATTGTTGAGGAGAGCATGAGGAAAATGATTTTCAACCCTCACGAGCGTTTGGGTACCGCGATGTTCTTCGAGGATTTGGGGTCGAGCGTTTGGGTACCGCAATGTTCTTTCATCCCTCATGGTGCTTAAGGGGTTTCGAAGGGTTTCTTTAGAGAGAGAAGCCGTGGGTTTCTTGATTTTCTAGGGAGGGGAGTTGTGGGGTTTGTGATTTTTTAGGGAGGGAAATCACAATTTTTTTTTATTTTTTTGGAGAGGTAAGCTGTAAAGTTGAAGAGGGAAATTCCAGATTTTGGAATTTTTTTTAGAGGGAAATTATTTTGGAGGCAGAAACTAGAAAAATAATATTTAATTAATAGAGGTTATAAACCTTTGCAAATTAAATAAAAAAATTGTAGTTTTTAATAAATTAAGGAGGTTTTTGAAACCTCCACAAAATAACTTCCACTATTTAACATTTTTTTTGTAGTGAGTAAAGAGGGGCAGTAATAGACACTTAATTTCGTCCGGGGGCATGCAAAAAACGAGACAACATTTTAGAGGGCCCAAAAGCCCAAACAAGCTGATTTTAGAAGACTGGAACTGGCTGTTCCAAAACCGGAACGGGCCGTTCCAAGTTTCTAAAAGGGCCAAAAAATCCTAAATTGGAACGGGCCGTTCCTAAATTGGAACGGGCCATTCCAAGATTAGAACGGGCTGTTCCAAGATTGGAACAAGCCGTTCCAAGCTTATAAAAATGGGGTTAAAATCTTTACTGGAACGGGTAGTTCCCAAACTGGAACGGGCCGTTGCAAGTTAAGAAAAAGACCTAAAAACCTTTCTTTGGAACGACCGTTCCAGTCTACCAAAGGATGTGTTAATTTTATCCCTGGAACGGGCCGTTTCAATTTCAAAACGGGCCGTTCTGGACCCTTTTTGAAGTCTATAAATAGACAATTTGGGCTCATTTCTCAGGACCTCCAAAATTTCGTCCAAAGCTCCTTAGAGCTCGAAATTTCTCTCTCTCTCCCTCCTATTTTATGTCTTTATTTTTTGTATTCTTGTTTTATTTTTAAAGGTTTCCACAAACGACCTAAAACCTCCATAGCTGAAGATCCAATAAATCTTGTTACGAGGTATACTCATCAATCTCTTGTTTTATCTTTCTCTTCTTTTATTTTACATATTACTATAATAAACGCAATTATGTAGATATCTTAGGGGTTCACCGTGTAATTTAATTTTCATGTAAATAATCATTAATAAAGGGGATTAAATATTTAAACTATTAATTCTTATTACGTTATCTTCATCATAGGGTATAATTAGGGTGTTGTAAGGTGTCTAATACCTACCGTACACGTAACCGACCCCCGAACCCAATTCTGGTTGTCAAGGCCATTATTGGACTTTTAAAAATCTTTTCTTCTTTCCAAGTTTTGAGTAAAACATTGGTGGCGACTCCATGAACTTATTTTCAAAACCATTGATTAAGGATTAGTCTGGCGTCCGGGCATTCCTTAATTTGTGACATAGCAGGTTGGTGTTTTAGTAGCCCAGAACAGGCTGTTCCAAGCTATTAAAATGGCCAGAAAATCATAGCTGAGAACGGGCCGTTCTGGAGGGAGAACGGGCCGTTCTGGTTGGACAACGGGCTGTTCCAGAGGGAGAACGGGCCGTTCTAGAAGGGAGTACGGGCCGTTCTGGTTGAAGAACGGGACGTTCTAGATGAGTTCCAGAACGGGCCGTTCCGATTTCAGAACGGGCCGTTCTGCATGTAATTTTTGTACGTGTTGAGGGGTGCAGAACGGGTCGTTCCTGTTTCGGTACAGGCCATTCTGGCCACTCCGGAATGTCTATAAATAGGGGTTGTGGGCAGTTGAGGGGAAGAGGTTTTTTTTTTAGAGAGAGGTTCTAGAGAGAAGGGCTCTGGACTGGGAAGCTGACCTTTGAAGGATTGAAGTTTCGAGCTGAGCTTCGGAAAGGGGATTCCGCTTCTTGGCTATCCTGATCCAATCTTCAGGTAAGGGAAGCTAGTTGAGGTTAAGTTGATAAGTTTTTATAGGTGTGGACATGTTTATGTTGTAAAGTGGTTGATTTTGCTGATTAATATTGTTAATGCTGTATGATGAAAAGTCGAGTTGTGAAGTATGTTGTTTATGTTGTTAATGATGTAACGCTGAGCCGTACTGTATGATGCTAATACTGAATTTCGTTGTTGAACTGATTAATGATGAGTTGTGCTGTGGGATGTTCATGCTGAATCATGATATTTGAGTCGTATTGTATAATATTGAGCTGTTTTGATGAAAACGGGTTTTCGGGGTTTCCGAGGTTTTGATGAAAATCTTGAGGTTTTCTTGATTGTGGCTGCATGTGGGTAAAGCTGAGATTTTTGAGATGATTGATGAAAATGGGAACTCTTGGCTGGATTGCATGCTGGTTTTCTGGCTATTTTTGCAGGATTTGGTGAAGTTTTTCGAAAATAGAGTGTTGCTGTTGAGCTTCGCGCTGGGCGCTGTTCTTCACGCCGGGCGCGTGACCACCAGGAGACTCTATTTAGGCAAGCCCGCCGGGAGCAAAGGTGTGTGCGCCGGGCAAGCTTGAGAATGAGAGTCTTTGGTTGGCCCCGCCAGGCGTGACTTGAGCTGCGCCGGGCGCGATATCAATGGTGATCTGTTTTGGGTGTTCTAGTGTCGCGCTGGGCGCGCGTTTGGACTCGCTGGGCGCGGAGGCTCCTTTGGAGTCTCTGCCAAGAGGGCGCTGGGCGCAATGCGAATTGCGCCGGGCGCGAGACCTTGGTAGGTCTCTGCCTTCCCCACGTTGGGCGCGGGTTAGGCCACGCCAGGCGCGTGAGACTCCTTGGAGTCTCTGCCTGGTATGCGCTGGGCGCAATCTGAATTGCGCCAGGCGCGTGAGAGTCTTGGGCTCTCTGGCTGAGGCACGCCGGGCACGGGAACTCTTGCGCTGGGCGCGTTGGCCCCTGGTGCTCTCTGGTTGAGCCGCGCAGGGCGTGACCATGGGTGCGCCGGGCGCGTAGGAGGATGTTGACTTGATGTGCTATTAGCCGTTAAACTTTGCTGAAATTGCTGAGAGAGGTTGTTTTATGCTGAGCTGAGCTGTAGTTGTTAAATATTGTTGTGCTAACTAGTTGATAACGCTGAATTATGTTGTTGAGCTGAAATTGACGAATATGTCGTGTTGTTAGATGTTATTGCTGATTAAGGATGTTTAGGCTGTGCTGTAAGTAGTTTAGCTGAGTCGTAAGCTGATAATTGTTGTATGCTGATATTGTTGTGCTGTAAGTTGTTTAGATGTGCTGGATGCTGATATTACTGTGCTGAGCTGGGCTGTTATTGATGATTTTAAATGCTAAAATTATATTATTGTTGTGCTCTAGAATGATGAGCTGAGTTGTGAGTAGTAAGCTGTGTTGAATACTACTTAGCCGTGCTGTATGCTGATTTGTTGTGCTGTGCTGTGAGCTGTTTGGTTGTGCTGTGTTAGTCGAGCTGTATGCTGTGTATGACCACTATTGTGGTGCTGTTCTAGCCGCTATGTTGGTGCTGTTATTAGCCACTATTGTGGTGCTGTTATAGCCGCTAAGGCGGTGCTGTTATTGCCGCTATGCGGTGCTGTTATAGCCACTAAAGTGGTGCTGAAATTGCTACTATGTAGTGTTGATATTGTTGAATGTTGTGGTGTGGTATAAGCTGTGCTGGTGTGCTGATAGCTGTAGCTGTTTACTGTCATATTGCTATATATGTATGTTGTTTCTTTACACTAGCTTACCCTTTGTTTTCTCCATGATGTTTGGACTGCGATGATCATACTACGTATGGGAGCAGAGCAGGGATAGGTAGGTGGCTGATGGTGAGTCTGCAGTTGGCAGATGGAGTGGATCTTCTAGGATCTTTTGATGTTTAGCTACTTAGTGTAGTAGCTTTTGATGTATTCCGTACACTTTAACTCTATCCAGATTTGGATCATGTATATGTATATATTCTAGACCCTATATGTATACACATGTTCCTTTCTGTGTGGTGTTTCTAGTGTGCTGTGCAGTGTATAGTGACTAGCCGGGTCGTTACATAATTGATGAGATTTTCAAAAGGATGTCTAAACCATAAGTCGCAAGATCGGAAATTTTCGGGTTGTGACATTAATTACCTTGATCCCAAATCCAAACCATATGAATCTACATAACCACCACACCAAATCTAAGACTCATAGATCGAATAAGATGCTACATGCTACGATGAAATTGCTGCACCAAGCATCAATTTAGGGCTTCCACATAGCTCCCACGTGGAAGTAAGAATCAACGAGTGCATTAGGGAGATAAAACTTACAACTTCACAATAGGAATAGGAAAAAAAACTCATTGTAACATCCTAAGATTTTTTTTTCTAATAATTAGTAATTATTAATTAGGAGATGATGATAATAATGATTTTATTTTTATGATTAATAGATTTTTCTATTCATTTTAATAGATTTAATTATTCAAGGGGGTATTAGAAATAATAAAGATAAAAGGGGGTTTAGAGAAATAAGAGTTATATATTATAAGAGAAGGGAGAAAGGGAGATATTATTATTCATTTTTCGTTTTATGACCTTTGATGCTTGGGTGCTCTGAAGAGAACACACCCAGAGAGCAAGGAGAAGGGATCATCGAATGAGAGGAAGAAAATTAGGCTCGTATGTTGCATCGGAGTGAGAACACTCATTTTTGGGGATTGAGTGTATGCATGAATGGTAGAGGGATTGACCCCCAATCCCATAAGTTTTTTGTTTGATGAGATGTGTTTGTTTGATGTGATTTATTGAGTATATTCTGAATATGTAATTTATTTGATGATCAGATCTCTACACTAAATTGGTGAATTTTCTGGATGTAAATTAGATTTCTACTTGAATATAAATTGGATGAATGATTTAGGTGATGCTTACTCCAAGATCTTGTTTTGTGTTGATGTGTTTAGGTGTTGGAATGCTAACGCTAGGCTTAAATGTTTGATGTTGAGCGTTCCTTCATGTGTATGAAGGCACTGCCCAAACGTGCTGGCGTCGGGTGTGGAAATGTCCACACCAGGTGCAAGGCATTGTGGTGCTTTCTGTTTCGACTTAACGTTGGGTGTGGTGTGTGACACCGGGAGCGAGATGTTTAGATTACCCTCTGCCTTGGCTTAAAGTCGAGTGCGACTTTTGAAAGCCGAGCGTGAGAAAGGCTGAGTGTTCTCTGCCTTGGCTTAA